GTTTCTGACCAATCATCATTTGGAAATGACCAATCATATTAAACAAGTTTGGTTCAATTGACACAGCAAGAGCAATATTTGTTAATGGACCAATTGTGACTATATCTAATTCTTTACCATACTTCTTTGCTAAGTCAATAATTTCAAGTGCTGCATGACGGTTACTAGCTGGCTTTAATTTTGTGTTTGGAACTTCAGCATTTCCAAAACCATCTTGACCATGACCAACAAATCTTTCTACTTCTACATGAAGTAAATTGTCTTTCGCACCAGCATAAAATGGAATGTCTGTTCTTCCACAACACTCAAGTACTCTTCCAACATTATTTAATACATCTGTTATATAAGTATTAAATTTTTCTATTTAAATCTTATTAAACAAACGATCAAGAGTAGTATTTCCAACAACACAAGTAATCGCTACTAAATCAACTTTTTTTGACATGATAGTAAGTAAAATAGCGGTAGCATCGTCAACACCACAATCAGTATCAATGATTAGTTTTCTCATTGTGTAAAAGTTAAAAAACTTTTTATTTTTTTATATTTTTTATTTTTATTTATTTTTTAGTAAAAAAACAAATTTATTGTTAAAAATACTTTAAAAATGTGTTATTTATTTAAAAATATAAATCTTTTGATTGGTCAATTCTTCTAAAATTAAAATTGGTTCTTATTTATATCTTTTTTCATTTTTATTGTTTTAAAAATAAATTATAAAAGTAAAGAAAAAGAGCTATTTTTTTTAAATAACACCAAATAATCACAGTTTCATAAAATAATAAGTTATATAGTTATTATTAAAATAAGAGAATACCTTGTTAGTAATAGTATTAAATTAGTGAGTAATTAATTATATTTTTTATTGTTTTCAATTAGATTAAATAAAGGTAAAAATTGTAATGATTTCTAATACGATAACAATTATGATATTAAAAAGAAAGGTATTATTACATTATTTATTCTGCAAGAAATAAGTGTTAAATAATGAAATAAAATCATTCTATCACAAAGTTAAGTAAAGACCAATATTAGAATAGTATTTTATTCAAAATATATCACTACTCAATTACTTAATTGGTTAAAATAAATGTAATTGTTTATTAGACATCAAAAGACATCAATATTTTTTTGATAAGATTTCTATAGCAATACTAATAGAAGTATTTTTATAATTGGTTTATTGATTTAAAGTTATTGATTATATAAATTAATTAATAAATAATAAACAGTAAATTGTTCTTTTATATGAAATTTATAAATCAACATGTTTTTTTTATTGAATAAAGGTTATTTCTTCGTTTATTAAATCTGATGTATCTAGTTTAA